GCAAGCGGGAAAAATTGCCCCAGTGGATGCTCGAAGGATCAGACTACGAGAAATGCAAATTCAAGTATTTCAAAGCAAAATGAAAACATATAATTGTTACGTGGATTGCGAGTTGGGCTCGGATGTCGCATCTGTAAAATAGCACTTTGTTGGGCACTGACAGCATGGCATACCAACTGGACGGCAACCGGGCGCTCAAAAGCGGATATAAGTTGATTGCTGGACGCGTCGAGATGTCGCAAACGCGACGGCATGCATTCTACCGGTCCCAGCGAAGTTAGCTGGTTGTGAGAAATATTGAGCCGCGTGAGACGTGGACAACAGCAAGCCAGGCAAGAAGGCGCAACTTTGATCTGTAAGAAATAACTAAATCTGAGGAATGGGCTCGAGCCCCGCTCCTTCCCCCTCTCCCTTCCCCCTCCCCCTTGAACACCTGAAATGACACGACAGAATATCAGAAAAGCTCAAAATATACAGGTATTTATGGCAAGATTTTTTTTTGCTAGAAAAGAACTGCCAGAAGTAATCAACTTTGAAATACTGGCACAGTGCCGGAAACAAAGATTAACATCTGTTCAAATTTCGGGTAATGATTAAAGAACAATGGGCAAAAACAACTGCTACGGGCAATTGCAAGATGCATATTGACGGAGTCCTGTGTATGCCCGAATGTATGTGTTATTGGTACGCTTGTTATCAGTTTTCAGTCCCTGACTAGAAAAATTAGAAAACTGAAGATCTGGATCTTAGTTCACGGCCTTGTATTGATTCAAATCCTAATGCTAATCTTCTAATTTTGCTGGATTTCCAGCCATGGCAACAGGTAAATTGAAGCCAAATTGCCACATCTAGATACTGAGGATACATGCCTTCACAGACGAAATTATACAAAAAAAAAAAAACACACTGACTCTGTCCCCTAAGGCATTTTGCTATTTATTATAAATCACGTGGGACCAACCATTTTTACTTTAATTCTAGAAATTACGATGAGCTACCGGCCGAAATATTCTACTCACCCCGCCTTTTAGGATAATTTTATATTTTTTATAAACATTATGGCAAAAATTTCTGTTTTATTGGGCGACGCGAGAAAGTAGACAGCATGAAGTAGGAACAAGACAGAGAGAAAGGAGACAAAAAAACATACATTGTTGTTTGAAATATTCAGTGAAGTGAGGGTTGATGCTGACGTTACACTACCATTCTCACTGTCCGACTCATCCGATTGCGCAAGCCGTACACTTCGCTGCCAAACATTATGCCTGCAAACACAAAATTTTGATAAAATTCCCTTGATTTAGCCTTAAACACCGAAATTTAACGAATTTTCAAGATTTAGTTTACGGCAATTTTCTGAATGTAGCATAACTAATGACACGCTGACTACCGGATGCTGCGAACCTGATCCCAATAGATTATGGTCGGTAGCGTGAATATCCCACTAAAATGAATACAACTCCTCCCTGCTGCTGAGAATTTTGTCTTTTTTGAGATAATCTTGGATGTGAGATTCAGAAGCTCAACGGACACTTAAAAGAGATGAAAAAGGCACAGACAGACACGCACTGTAGATATCTCGAAGTAACCTTTTCAGTTCATGAACAGTAATGTTAGAGTCATCAATTCGACCACCGATACTTATGGAATCATCAGTTGATACGGTGCTGTGATAAGTGCGCGTCTCCGAATGATTTGATCCGGGTTGGTCGCTTCCAGAAAGACTGCTCGATGGCCGAAGCTGCGACGAACCGATGGCGGGCAATACTGACAGTTTGTTGTTCGACAAATTCAGCTCGCGCAATCTTGGAGCCATCCACAGAGTATCCGGAAGTGTGGACAATTTGTTGTGCGAAACATCCAAGAAACACAGAACCGGCATTCGCGATGTGAAAAACTAAAACAGTAAGGACTCAATGCTGACGAAACTTCAAATAAACAAATAAAAAATTTCTCTTTTCAGATTTCTCGCCAACTTTTTTAAAATATATGCTTATGATAGTAAATTAAATGTAAAAATACACTGTCCTCGAATTTGTCGCGGGATTTTTTAAAAAAAAGAGTGAAAATTTGAAAGCTGCGCGTGATCAGGTATACTCCGACGAAAGAAAGGAAAACTAGAAAAGCGAAAGGGAACGAAAAAGTAGTAAAAAAAAAATGTGGCTATTTTCAAAAAAAAAAAAACATGATAATAAGACACTTCTTGATTAACATTATAATATAAAAGCATCGGCAAAATAATTTCAAAAATAAAACTCAAATATTTTTTGGAAAAAAAAAAACAAAAATTCAGTAGTTATTTCATTTCCACTGGAAAAAGAGAAACACTGGCAATCTTTTCCCCATTAAACCACACTGAAAAATATGCAAAACCACAATTACAGAAAAAAGAAAATAAAAAAAATACATCATCTGGAAGAAAGGAGAGCTCATTATATTCCAGCGATAAGCTTTCCAGAAGGGGCGCTTGAATGCCATCGCTCGGCATTTCAATTTCCGCTATTTCATTGTTCGCTGCATTCAAACTTCTCAGTGACGAGAGCTGAAGTAGCTGCCCACTCAGCACTTTCATTTTGTTCTTTGATAAATCAATTCGCGTTAGTGCTGCCAGTGCCATCCTGCAAAATTTATACACATGAAATGAAGTGAAAATTTGCATTCATCCAAATTCTTGGGTTTTCCGAGAGCAAGGAAAGTTATTCTAATCTGAGATAAGCTGCCTTAGGATGCCTCTCGCTTTCTAAACAAGTCTTAGGATAATCAAGGAAATTGGAAAAAAAAATCGGCTGAGGAGTAGTAGCTCCTATGTATTCTTAGCTTAGACGGTCTATAACAATTCTGAAAAAAGTTGTTGCTGTTCTGTTAACTTCTGCCTTATTAAAAATTCTTTTATGCTGATGCAAAATATTTTCGAAATTTTTCACAGGTTTTCTGATTCCAAAAACACAAAAGTTTTAAATTCCTGATTCCAACAGTATGAAGAAAAAAGACAGTGACTCACCGTGATGTTCGTAACCTTTGATTAACTTGTAGGCAAGCAGCAATTAGCCAGTCGTTCGAAATACTTGCTAAACTTGCATTATGCCAGTTGAGCATGCACGGTGATGTGGGGTACACTGTAGAGGGTAGAAGATGTCGGTTTATTGACATCTGTCCAAAATCCATGCCTTTTTTGTTGATACGATAGTCCGGATCAACAAATGTTAGGCGCAACAGAAAAATCCGGACTAATGCTTCCTGATTATACTGAAACAAAAAAAGTGGACAAACAAATCCCTGAATCCAAAAAAATCGCTTAAATTTGTTAAAAGCGTTATTAATCCGAGTTTTCTTCAAATGCTCCATATCGCAGACTACTTTGATCATTCTTTTGCTTCACTGTTATGCGTTTCCCCGCTGCAGTTGGAAATCTTCGATCGCTGCTGTAACTCGCGGTGCAACACCTGGCGGTCGAGCTGTTGGTGCTCTTAGTGCTCGTTTTCTTGCTTTCCTCCTTTTTACTCTGATAGAGGTTGTTGGACATTTTGCACACGTAAGTATTTAGGAACCGATAAAACGGCGAAAAAAGTGGGTGATAAAACTGACCTTGAAAGCAGTAGCAAGGGCAACATTTTCGTGGTCAACAGCACCCCGCTGCAAAAGCAGCTGCACCAACGGAACACAACCAATTCGACAGGCCTCATTGAGGGCACCAGAACCCACACATCGAGCCCCATCCAAACTGCTGATGTCTGCATCAGTAAGCCCACAGGGCAAATTCACATCGGCACCGTGTTCCAGCAGCAATCTGAAAAAACGCAACATGTGAACATTTTTCCCGGAATAAATCCGGAGGAAACTGAAACTGTCCATAGTTTATGCATAGCTGACTCATTCAGCTGAGAGGTGGAAACTATTAAACAAAAGAAAAAGCTAAACGCATTTCCACAGCAAGTCATCGGAACAAATGGAAATATTGCGAAAAGCCGAGAAATTATTAATTTTTCCGAACTATCACTTCAAAATAACATGAATGGCCGACTTCCTAGTCCGCGAAAAAAATGCCTCATCATGGTCTGCAAATGTCAAAGTTTGTATAAAGGTGTTATGCCCAACAAATACTAACAATATCTCTAAACGACTGAACTCCCTCAAA